ATTGTAATTAAAACCTATTTGCCATTTATTTGCCCAACTTTTGTAAATAAGCAGCATCCTCTTCACAGCTAGTAAAACCCAAGAACTTAATATCATCTGCAAATTTAAGTAATTTATTGACCATTCCTTCATCTATGTCATTGATGTAAATCAAAAAGAACAAAGGTCCTAAGACTGAGCTCTTAGGTATCCCACTTGTGACATTAATCCAGTTTGACTGAACTCCATTTGTAACAGCCCCTTGCTTTCTTTCATCCAGCTACTCTTCTATCCAATTTGCTAACTTACCCCCTCCCACACCTATAGAGCTAATTTTTTTTACAAGTGTTTTATGTGACACCTTGACAAATGCTATCGGAACATACAGATACACCAAATTTATACTCTTACCCTCATCTACATAAGTAGTAACATTTTGAAAAAATGTTAAAATATTCGTAAGGCAAAATTTTCTCTTAGTGGAACCATGTTGACTATCCAATAAAATTCTAAATTTGTTAAATGACTTTGCAAAGCATCTTTTATCAGACTTTCCATAAATTTCCCACAACTAATGTAAGACTAATGGGTCTATAACTACTGGGATAATTTTTATCACCTCCCTTGAAAAGAGGAGTTACATTAGCTAATTTCAAATCCTCTGGTACCTGCCCACTATTTAAGGACTGACAAAAAATAGTAGCAAGTGGCTCACATATCCAATCTTTAACCTCCTTCAAAACCCTTTGGAAATATTATCTGGCTCCGGAGTCTTATCATTCTTTAAACTTCCCAATTTTTTCTTAACCAGCTCAGAATTAATGCAGTCAATTTGTTTGATCTTTTATATCTATCAACTATTCAAGATGTGGAATACTGCTTAAAATTTCGTTAGTAAAAGCTGAAGAAAAAGCAAAGTTTAATAACTCAGCCATCTCATAATCATCAGATATGAGCCTTCCTTTATCATCCCTCAAGGGCCCTACCTCCTCCTAATATTTTTGTTTACCCTTAATGTATGTTAATTTTTACATTTTCAGCCAACCTTTTCTCATAGATCCTCTTTGATGTCCTAATTTCCTATTTCACAGACTTTCTTGATCTTCTATAATCTTCTAAGTCTCCTGTCATACCAGTCAATTTAAATTTCTTAAATTTATGATGCTTTTCTCTGATTTTATTTCTTATACTATTTGTAAGCCACCTGGTTTTTTACTTGTAGCTACCACTTTTCTTTCTTTTAAAATTTTCCACTTCTGATCAGTGTCTCCAAGTAATTCAGCTGCCCAATTCACAACAAATAATTCTTGTTGCATTCTTATCTCCATATGCAGCAAAACACCAAATCTAACAGAGCAATGATCACTTGTACCCAGATGTTCCCCAATTTCCACCCTCTCGATCATTTCTGTATTTGAAGTTAACAATAAGTCTAAAATAGCATTGTTTCTAATTTGTTCCTTGACTAACTGGTGAAGAAAGCCATCTTGAACAGTTTCCCAAAAACCTTTCTCCCTCATGGTTTGAATTTAGAATTTCCCAATCTAT